GCTACTCCAAGCAAGGTAGTTCTCTCAGGGACTCAAGGGGAGGCTGCCTTCTGGAAGGAACTTGAGATGAACATAAGGATGACACAAGGCCACTGTCTAAAAAGAGAATGAAGAGAATTTATATGTACTAACAAGAAGGGGTTATTTTGAATTGAAGCAAGTAAAAGAATGGGACACATGTGTGGATCCTATTTGTGAGTGTGTTTTAAATACACATACACAGACATACACAGAAACCTTCATACACAGACACTCCTGTTCCCATGCCATACCTGTGTGCACACACATGCTCTGGAAAGAAATAACAAACACCAATTTATTAACAGCAACTTCTGAAAAAGAGGCAGAAGGTGGGATTATGGGTATGGAACACTTATTTTGTTAATTTTCATGATATATACTAGACACATGAGATGTTTTACAATGACATCATCACTTCATAATTTAAAGAAAGCCTGAATTTTTAAATGTAGTGAATAAATCTGCCACCATGAACACTTCTTGAGAATGTGCAAGCAAGATTCCAGAACACCCAGTTGCAATGAGACAGCCAGTGTGTTGGTCTCAGAGAAAGTTGGGGCTGGCAGAAGGAGGGGGAATTTATTTCCTGGCTGCATGGTCAGAAGGGTGTCAAGTGGGGGTCAGCCTTGCTTGTCTGGGATTTCAGTACTTTGAACAAAACTGGTTGTGGCGTCAGAAATGCAGGCAAAGGGCTGGGGGTGTATCTCAGTAGTAGACAATTGCTGGGCACATACAAGGCCCTGGGTTGGATCCCTAGGAATGCAAAAAAATAAGAAAGAAAGAAAGAAAGAAAGGAAGGGAGGAAGGGAGGAAGAAAGGAAGGGAGGAAGGGGGGAGGACAGGAAGGAAGGGAGGGAGGAAGGAAGGAAGGAAGGGAGGAAGGAAAGAAGGAGGGAAGGAAGGAAAACAGATAAGGAGTCCAGCAAAGGTGTCCTTGCTGGCCTCTGAGTGCAGTGTTGACTAACCTTTCTGGTACAGGAGGCTCCTAGGAAGCGGACCTCTGTCCCTCCAGGAGAGGGGAAGGGAGGGTCACACGGGGTGAGGGACTAGGGAAGTGAGCCTCTCCCCCCATCATTTAGCCACACCTGCATGCACATCCCTCTGGGACACCTGGTTTCCAGCTCCTTCTCCTCTCTAGGAAATCCACCCCTCCAACGTGGATCCTGATTTTCCCAGCCATCAAGTCACAACAGACAATTGTCTTGTTGCTACCATAAATTCTCTTTATTCTTTTTTAAACAGCTGCTGTGTATCATCTTTTGTATTTATCCTAAGAAAGCCTTGCCTTGAATCTGTGAGGGAATCAGCTTCCCTGAAAGAAGGTTTGTCCTGCAGAGAGAAGGTTTGCTGGAAATGTAGAATACTTCAGGGGATGGGGCCTGAGTGAGGCGGTCCTGAAAAGGATGCTGGACAGCCTGAGGGCACTGCGTATCTGGTCTGGGTTTTTGAGGGAATGGAAAGCCAAATAGTAGGCAGTGCTAATGAAGGAGGACTCCATCAGTCTGGGATCCTATTGATATCACTAGAAAATCACCCCCTGGCCACAACCACTCCCCATACCACATACACTAACCACTGCTCCTAGCACCAAGTCTGGAAGGCCACTGGGCTCTACCATCCTGCTCTGCAACTCCTTTTTAGTCTTTCAGATGTCGTGGGTGAAGCATGGACTATCATCTTAGCAGTCGTTGTGGAAAGTAGATGGTTTGGAGGCAAAGCTCACCTTCTGCTATAGTTGGAGGGCTACTGTCAAAAGCATGAATTTGAAGTTGAAGAAATCAGTTCAGAAACCAGCTCTGCCTATTCCCATCTGGGATCCCTGAGCCCCAGTGTGTCAGTGCAGAATGCTGACACTAATGATACCTGTCTCGCAGGGGTGTTGTGAAATTGAATGATATAATAGGTAGATGGCATTCAAGCAATGCCTGGCATTAATTTTGGCCTGACTCCCAACTGCTCCAGCCAAAGTGTGGAACTTCTGGTCTTACAGATTCATGGCGCCACCTTGTGGTTTTTTTCTGTCAGAACATGCGCTTAACCACTCAACTCCCATGACTTCTATGGGGTGGAGGTGAAGGTGGGGTGTCCATAAACTCATTATTCTTTTAGCATGTCAGCTCTGTAGTGGTAAGTGTGGTGTTGGTGTCTAACAGAACATCGTAGAAAAACCTGAGAAACAGATGCTAGAGAAAAACCATTTGGAAGGAACACATCCCCATCAAAGAGATCTCCTTCTAGTCCAGCATCACCGTCCAGCTTTAGCTGTGAACAGGAGACAGTTTTGTTGGCTTTCCAGTAAGGAGAGAGGTTGCATAATGATTTAAAATGTCTCTCTTCCACTTCCAAACCTCTGCCCACTTTCAAGTCCTGCCCTATTGCTTCTCCTAACCCCTAATCCCATAACACACACACACACACACACACACACAGACACACACACACACACACACACACACGTGTGCTGCCTTCCCTTCCCTCTCCTGCTTCCCCACAGCACTCCCACACCCCACTCAAAACCCATTTCCACTTCCCCTCCACCCTGACCTCCTACTGTTCGCCTCCTCTTCTTCCTGCTGCACCCCTTATGGCCCCCTCTTCTGAAATTGCACTTTCATTCCCTATTATCATTCCGGGCTTTATTCTGCTCCTCAGAACTTACCACTACGTGCCAATTTGTTGCTTGGTTGGTTGTGGTCTTGCTCCATTTGAATGGGCAAGATTAAGGGGGATGTCTGTCTTTCTTCATTGTTATACTGCCAGTACCTTAAATGACACCGCTCATAGTGAGTGCTCAATAGCTGTTGGCTAAATGAGGAATGAATGAAGGGGGGAGAAGAGAGGTTATTCCACATGCCATAGATTTCACAATGAAATGAAAACTTGTTATTTTTAATAGGAAAGTCACTTCTAAAGAAAAGATTGGCTTCGTGGGTGATTGGCTGGTGCAGCCACAGTTGTGTCCTGACATTCAGAAGAGCCCCACTCCTGGGGTCTAACATCTGTGGTTACAGCCTGAGAAGTTGTGTTTTTGAATTTGTGCTCTGTAAGAAAACGTGGTGGACTATGGAGCATGTGGGGGGCTTAGAGGTTTAGCTCACACAGAGTCCCATTGCCTACCACGTCCATAGACTCTCCAGGATGGTTTGCCCAGCTCCCTGCTTTCTGGTGCACTGGATCCCACCCACCTTCCCCCTTTTGGCCCACATCTTATGATCACTGCCACTGGGTACCACAAGGGAAAGCTCAGGGTTGGGCACCTGGGCCCCAAAGCATCTCAGGACAGGCTGTGGCAGTAGCACTGCTCCCCACCCCCGCCCCAGCCCTCACCCACTGGCAGCCCCATGGTATATCTGGTAAGTGGCCCATTGGAGGCCATGTCTTGGCAAGGGTCATCCAGGTCCCCTGATCCAGGTACAAAGAAAGTCCCAGCTTGGGGGTAGGGGAGGAGGGGTTTACAAATCCTTGGGAGTGGCTTATCTGCAATAAGTTGGGCAGTGTGGCCTGTGGGAAAGGAAGATGGCTAGCTAGACTTCTCCAGACCTGACACTGCATTGTATAGGGTTGGTGAAGGTAGAGAGGGAAGTGAGAGAGGGTCACAGGACCCCGGGTCCCAGTGAAGGTGGAGAATGTCTGTCTCTTCTGGCTGACTTGAGGCACCCTCCAGGGACAGCCACAAAGTATGAATTATATCATTGCAGTGATTCCACCTGTGAGCTAAATAAATGCTCTGGCATGGCACAGACTAAAACTGGTTAAATTCATCTTACTGATTTCTAAATTTTTTCTTTATTTAGAATATCAAGTAGCAAATAACACATCAAGTGGAGAGAGACCTCAGAAGAATAACTTTATAAGGACCTTTTAATGGGACTTATTTCCCACTTTTTGAACAAGGGCCACATGTTCATTTTGGACTGGGGCTTGCAAATCCTATAGCTGGCCAGGAGTTATATTCAACATTTATGTCAAAATGGTCCTATTAGGATTCATCTCTGGATGTGCCATAAAGTCATAGAAGTCAGTTTCTGATGGTGTTTGGCTAATTTTATCATTTGTTGTTGACAGAACTACACTGCCAACTGTGTGATAAACCTGCAAATTTGACAGAGTTATTTCCCTCACTTGTTAGTTAAGCCTGATAACTTGGTCTTCTTTCATTTTGCTAAATGAATTAGAAATGCCAAGAAAATGTTACATGAAAAATGTGATGGTTATAGCAAAGTCTGATAAATCATTTAAAAAAGTCGGAAGTATTTAAAAAAAATCCATAAACATTCAAATTTAATTTCACAGGTGGGAGGTTTTGGCACAGGTCAGGTTTCTCAAGAGTGGCACTGTTGACATTTGTTGTCAGTTGTACTGTGCGTCACAGAATATTTAGCAGCATTACTGGACTTGACCCACTGGATACCAAGTAGTACCCTCCCCCTCGTGATGACACTGCCCAATGTCCCCTGGGGAGCAGAGTCACTCAGTTCAGGACCACTGGCTTCCAGGGGTGTTAAGGTGTCGTCATAATGGCACAATGTAGCTCCTGAGCATCAGTCCATGTCTTCCCCCACCTATAATCCCTTTAATCATAAACACACATTCCTCCAATCAACAACTCAAGATCAACAAATGCAAGAGACAGAAATATAGGAAAACTAAAGAATTATTTTATTTAGGGAAGGAGGTGGGTAAATGACAGCTAGTTCATATACTATTAAATAGAAATAAAAGAAATAAAAGAATATAGACACCACAGTGATAAAATTCCACAAAGGTAATAGATTTGTACTACAATGGAATATTTATAAACAAGATGTCTTGGTATTAGTGACCAATTAGGTTTATCCAATTAGGTTTTCGAAGTTCAAGAACATTTAAAACCAGACATGACAGTTGCAAGCACGCCACTCAGTCATTTAAAGCTTCTCACCCAGTGCTACTCCTGGACAAGTATTTATGCCTAACATTATTTTTTCGCCAAGATCTAAAATGTCACATTCATATTCCCAATAGTAATCACACACAGAATTAAAAGCTCAAGCAACCAAAAAAGTATCATTTTTTTCTTTACGAAAGATGTTAAAGAAAAATGTTCTTGGAAGAAAGAGAAATTAAAAGATGTGGACATCTCGAACAACTGTTGCTGAAAGTCTGCAACAGCAATTTCAAGATATACTATACAATAAGGGGTGGCTCATGGAACCAAAAATACAAAGCCACAGCAGTTGAGTACCAATCTTGAGAGGGCTGGCACGGCTCTGTGTCTCTGCTCAGCTAGCGCATGCCGAGGATCTGCTTGCTTTTGAGTTGATACGTTTTCTCAATGTCTGACAGGGCCTGAGCCCGCAGCTGGGCGGCATGAAGCCTCTTCTTCAGGTCCTTGCACTTGGACTTGGAGGCATGCTGACTCTCCGAATTCTCACTCCTCATGATGTTCTCTTTACTGTCCCCACTGAAATGAACTTTCTTCTTAATTATTGAGGATGGAAGACCAAGAAGTTCTTTAGAAAGAAAAAGAAAAAGAAAAAGGGTTTTAATTACTTGAATAAGAGTTCAACTCCTGCATACTTACAAAAATTATTTACTCTTGGTTAAGGGCATGCAGCTGGTAAAAACCAATCAGCCTTTCTTTCTTTTCTTGTCTTCTGTCTCTGTCTCTCTCTCTCTCTTTTTTTTTCTTTATTTGGGATGGGGGTCTTGTGTTGCCCAGGCTGGCCTTGAACTCATGATCTCTTCTCCTCATGAGAAGTGGGAGTACAGGCAACAGGCTTATATCATCACACCATGCCTCAATCTGCCTTTTAATCCATACCACTGAAAACAATAATCCTGAACTGTGCCAAATATCAAGAACAAATATTTTGTTTGCTTAACAATCAACTTTTCCCTTAAGGTTAACAGCACTGGGGTTATGGATCACAATGCAATATTTTGGAAATTAGTGTTATCTATCCTTGGAAACCAGCTGTCATTCTCTGTAGGACATATTACTTCGAGAAGACCACAGAAGCAGAGGTCTTTCTTGAGGAGAAAACCTACAGTTATCATCAAGCACTCAGTAAAACTTAGTTCAAAAAAGCCCAATTCACCAGCACCTAAACACAATGTGAGCCAAGGTAAATCAAGTAACAGGGCAAAGCAAATGTGAGCTGTGCTTCTCACATGGAACAACACCATATTTATTTAGAGTGGTTACACTGTTAACTACTGACAGAACAATTTGGGGGTTGGAAGCTTACAGGTTTTAACTCTAGAACCTTATTTTTCCTTTATGCTGATTTAAAGGAAATATGTTTAAAGATTTACTGAGCTCGTAATATGGGCCATTGTGAACTGAAGGCCCTATTCTAGTAAGAGAAGATACACCATTATCAAATAAACACGTGCAGATGGGGGTATCTGATTGGGAGGTGTGCATGGGGGAAGATAACAACCAGGCAGGGGACAGGCCTGCTGGGTGGTGGTTGCAATGAGGCCTAGAAAGCCTCACAGGTGAATCTGGAGCAAAGACCCAAAGAAGAAGAGGAGGGAAGAAGCCAGAGGGCTGTGAGGATGAAGAGGCTAGCACACAGACCCCTGACTTCCTCCTACAAGCACTATCTCTGCTTCAAAGCAAAAGGGATTTTGTTAGTTTAAACTCCATTGTCTCAATGTATCTACCTTTTATTTCTACAAATACCTATACACGTGTAAAGTAATATAATCTTACTAATGGGATGGTTTTATAAGAAAGAAAAGTGTTTAGAAAAAAGGCTAAAGGGCCTGGGCCCAAAGTAATCTCAGCTATGTAGGAGTTGGAGATGGGAGGATTCTGGTCAGGAAAAAGCACAAAACACTACCTGAGAAGCAAACTAATGCAGAAAGGGCTGGAGGCCTGGCTCAAGTGGTTGAGCACCTGCCTCACAAGCACAAGGCTGAGTTCAAAACCCAAGTACTGTCAAAAAAAAAAAAAAAAGAAGAAGAAAAAGAAAAAAGAATGGTCTTTCACCCAATGTAAGAAAAGAATATTTCTTTAAAAAGACAAAAGACAAAAGGGCTGGAAGAGTGGCTTAAACAGTAAAAAGACAAAAGACAGCATCAGAAAAGATGTGACTACTTACTGCTGTGATACTCTCAACCTACTGTGATGGCTTTCCCCAGCTCTGAACTTTGCAGCCTAAGGTTGGAGAGGGGACATTTCCACCCCCCTGAGTTCATATGGCACTCACTCCCCATCACTTTGTTGCTCAACCTGTGGCACTAAGGAGCCCAGTACTTGTAGTACTCAGTACTCTACAACGTCTCTGAGGCCCCAGGGAGACTGGATTCCTACAGCTCAAATACTTGCCACGATTCTCACACAAGTGGACTCCCACACCCATCGAAGCGTCCTATAAAGCGAAACACATCACCTGTACCTAGCTATTTTCATCCTTTGCTCCAAGACTATCAGGGTGGATGCAAATAAATGCTTAACTGGAAGAGCCATCAATAATAATCAATAATTCTCTGGAGCTGGATGCATAAAACACACATAGTTCTTCTCCTTGATTCATCACCCTATTCATGATTTAAGTCTATTTTGTTTCTACGGCTAACAGAACCGTTAAAAAGCTGATGAGGGACAGAGTGGTGGTACACACCTCTAATTCCAGCTACTCAGGAGGCAGAGACAGGAGGATCATGGTTTGAGGCCAGCCTGGGCAAAAGTTAGTATGAGACCCTATCTAAAAAACAAACTAAAAGCAAAAGACTGGAGGTGTGGCTCAAATGGTAGAGTGCTTACAAGCTTGAGGCCCTGAGTTCAAATCCCCAGTACTGCAAAAAAAAAAAAAAAAAGATTGAAATGAATATTGTAAAAGTACTGACATGGTAGATAGTGATGTTTTAACAGAGATGAAGCCCATGCTTCATATAATCTTCGTTTCATTAACTTCCACCACTAGTTTTGCTGATTTCCATCACTTACTCAGTATAGCCACTGCAATCATTACACTAACTTAAGTTTTTTTTGTCCCATTTACTCACTGAACTCATCAGATTCTGTTTATCAAAGGTGGAAATGGCCTCCTTCACACGTGCTATTCTACATGGAATAAGGGAGTCACAAGAACTCTAAAAGAAATTTCATTGAAAATTCAGAATTTCAGGTTTTAAAATCAACCAAAAACATTGAACAAATCATTTGTGTCATGAAGAAACTGAGAGAAAGATGTTTGCATTTTCCAAAATCCTAAAGATTAAATTAGATCTTGGGTTTCTATGAAGTGGAGAAAGCTAGTTCGAGGATGCCCGGGCACAGAGGGCAGTCACGAGTGGGCAGTGAAGGGCCACTGGGACACATGGGCTGCACCCCGAGCAAGCTGACTATCTCCACATAAACTCTGGAGAAAGGAGACACACAAGATGTGTAGACGTTAAATAATCAAATATTAACAAAAACATTTCACCTTGAAAAGTCTTAGCCGAGACCCAAAGGTGACAGTCTGTTCTGCAGTTGCCTACTGTATCTTTAAGCCATACTTTCTATGGAGGGTAAGATGTGGCAGTGTCAAAATGCGAGGATTTCTGCTTGAAAATGTAAAGAAATATGGTTTTGACAATATACCATAGAAAAAATTGAAATGGGTGGAGTGTTGAAAATTCTCTCATTTTAAAAAATAAGTATCAAATACCAAACATGTAATTTGATAAGGTAAATAAAACTAAAAATGAAATCCTATGACTCATAAATCCAGTAAATAAATCAGTAGTATAATAGAATTTTATTTCCATTCAAGTGCATACATTCAGTGAAATCTACCTTAAAATTTGAGACTCTGTAAAGGACAAGAGCTACCAAAGCCACCCTGAGGGCAACGCTAATGTGCCTTTCTACTTTTGCAGCACCAACTTCTGTGAACAGAGTTGACTCTCATACCTGGACCACCTGCCAGAGACAGGAACCTCTGCTCCTTTAGCAAGCTGTAGTTCTTTACCAGGCTTTCTGCTCTAGCCAGTTTGTCTTCTGCTAATCTCTCTCGAAAACAAAGTTCACGTTCCTTCTCTTTAAAAAGGGAATGGAAAAAGAAAGCAGAAATTAACAAGGCGCTTCGGTCATAAAACAATTTACATTTGGTAATCTTATCATTGTGTGTGTGTTTCTTATCACTCAGACTAGCATGCCTGACCGACCACTGGTGAGTAATGATTTGTGAAAGGTTTCTTTTGAGTATCCTCGGCAAGCTGATTGCGTTAGTTTTTAATTTAGTGGTTTAGCATGCCTTATGTCATTTTCTTGTAAGGACTTGTTTAAATACAAGTACAAAGTTAGCTTTTAGTTGGTCATGTTATGTGGAAGTAACTCATTTGGAACACAAAAACTACAGCCATCTCTGCTCTCCACAAGAAAACAGGCAACAACTAATTTTCAGGGCATCTCCTAGCCTCATAGTATAAAATCTCCTTCTGGTTCAATGATGCCACCCAAATAGAAGGGGGAAAAAAAACCACAGCTCAGTTAAAGAGCAGTTCTTTAGATTAGTAACAAAGGCCACTAATTATGCACAGCCTAGAATTTGGAGTGGTCAGATTTCAGTTGAATGAAATTTCCCCAGACATGGCAAAAGTGTTAAGAAAATGTGTGTGTGTGTGTGTGTGTGTGTGTTTTAAAAGAATTCTTTTGACAGAATAGTCAAAAAAGGTTTCCAGATAAGCACAGGTTGTGCACATACAGTAAGTATATCTCAGCACTATACAATGTTTCATTTATCATTAGGAAGTGTAACATTAATGAACACATTGGTGCTTGATCAGTACATTTAAGTAGAACATTTAAGCATTGAGTATAAGGTTGCAGAAGTGAAATCACGTGTCCTGAAGGTGGGAGAAAGGTGGGAGACGCACACCTCTGTCTCTGAATGTTAAACTGAAATGAAGACCCACACTGCTGTCATTCCCTTGTGTAATCCTAAACCCTTAGTAGCAGCTCCCATCTTAGTGCAGTAGACAGACTTTTAACATCAAAAACTCATTTGCATCAAATCAATTAATATTCATCAAGTCAATGTTAAAACCAATCAGGGTATTATCTATAAACCTAGAATATCTTACACCTATGTTCTCCATGGAATGGCCTAACCATATTCAATCCTGCAGACCTGGAGTCTCTTCAGAAAATAGAAGTCATGGTTTTTATGATGGAAGGCAGCACATTTTAAGACCTTTCTTTACAATGGAAAAAAATGACGGTGTATATATTAAGGATAAGAAAGAAACAAAGTGTAATGGCTATTATGTTAGGGTCAACAGAGAATATCCAGCAACATCTAAGAACTGGCAACTGATTCCAGTGAAAGTGCTAGCAAGTCTACAACACGTGCTTTAATCCCTCAAGGATTTATGAGAACATTCTAATGGGACCCACATACATACAGTATTCTACTCAAATACATGTACGTCAGAACAGCCCTCTCACAGAGCTCCTTGGCTTTCCTCCCCCAGGAGGAAAAGGAGTCTGGAGGCAGACTTACGCTCCAGTCTTTCCTCTCGGGCTTTGAGGGCTCGCTCTCGTTCCTGCAACTGTGTTTCCTTCAGTTTCAGCTCACTCAATACAGGGCTGGAATCCTGTAACTTTTCAGGCTCTGCTAGTCGTCGCCCTCTCCTCTCAAAATTTCTTTTTTGCTCTTCTGCTACCAAGTCTGCTATCAAAGCGTTCTCAAGAATTTCTTCAACTGAAGGTCGATGGTAATCCTAGGGGAAAATTCTCAGTGTGACAGTCAGATTATGTAACAAAACATTCATCAGAAGAAAGCAGTTATATTAGAAGGGCAAGTATGTCTAAGGAAAAAGAAAGGAATGGCAAGTAAGTTCACTGGTCAGAAGGGTTTCTGGATCTTTAAGGTAAAGCAGATTTTAACTTTTATTTTTTTGGTGGCATTAGATTTGAACTCAGGGCCTCTTGCTTGCTAGGCAGGCGCTCTACCACTTGAGCCACACCTCCAGCCCTAGCTTAACTTTTCCCCTTGCCCTCCCCTACACTTTTCTAAGAAGGTTCAGTCCCTGAAGAACCCTGCACGCCTTGTGCTTATGGTGTTCCTAGGATCTGCTTTAGAGAAGTGCCACTTTGGGATTTCTAAACCATCTCACTAAACCAGCCTTCAATCCTATTACTTCCCATTTCCTTCTCTGTGACCCTCTAGCATTTCCCTTCCACCCCTACATTAGCCTGTTCCCAGAACACCTTCTTCCCTATCCCATGACTAGAGTTTGCCCATAAAAATCTTATTTAAGTTATTTTCCCTTTATTCTACCTGTCTCCTCCTCCTCCTTCTTCTCTCCCTCTAATCTCTAATCTCTCAATTAGATCTGGAGAAAAATAATAAAATCAGATTTCTTGTTCCTTCTCTTACCACCTGTCACTGCAGGCAGGACAGGGGAACTGAGGATTTGGAACATTTTTTGCAATCTTTTCTTGCTACCAATCATCTGTTAATATGGCAGAGTGGGAGGAAAAAGAAAGTACAGAAGGTAGACTGGCAAGGATGTACAATTTGCCAGATTTACATATGTATTCACTTGTGTTAACAGTATATTTAGCTGAGGAAATTGTTTATTTCTTCAGACTCTATCACTCTGCAAAAGAGAATATATACTCCAAAATTTAATCAATAACATTACATTGATAAAAACAGACAATATAAAGTCTTATAATGGTTACCTTTAAATTTAACATCCTTGTAATAATGTCATTCAATTCATCAGAGTAGCGGTATGGAATTCTCCTGAATTTGCCTTCTCTGATCTTCCCAGCTAGTTCTTTTTGGTTAAAAGCTGTAAATGGAGGCCTGAGATTAAAAAAGAGAGAGAGGGGGGGAAGAAAAGAAAAAAGAGAAAATTTAAAACTATTACAATGAAAATATATCATAGGAACCAAAGCAAAAGTACTGCTTAAACTCCAATCTGTATGTATGTTTCCACTTCTGGAAAACATAACCAGTAAATTTTATAACTAAGTTTAGTAGTTTCTTGGTATTATCCACCCTGTGGTTGAATATGTCTCCTGTTTGGAGGGCTGGCCTGTGTCATATGATATTTGTGGGATCCTGGCCTTACGCTTACAAGATGCCTAGATTTGTGACAACCAAAAATGTTTCTAGACAATGTCAAATGTCCCAAAGGAGCAAAATTGGTTTGGGGGGGAATTTAAAAGAATAAAAGAGAAAAGAAGTGGAGTTCTTTCCTGTTCTCCATATCCCCAAACCTTTTGCCTTGATCTTTTGTTTCATTTCTTCCCTGTCCTTATAGTAACTTTACCTGACCTATGAACTCTCCCCTTAAGCTCAGCGTCAGTCTGACAGGAAGCATCGCACCAGTCAAGACCCTTGAGCAAGTCAGGACCTAGCTTTATGGTTACATTTTAAGTTTATAAAGCCTGTCCACCTACCTTAAGAATTTAAATTCTTTAAAATTTAAGAATTTTATAATCTTTTAGACTTGAACATACTTTATTAGCATAGAGGCTCACAAAGATGAATCCAGTGAAAAGAGACAAGTAATGTAAACCTTACATTAGGAATCACATTGTCATACTTACATTAAAGCACAAAGTTCATACAGCAAACAACCCAGGGACCAGATATCTGACTTCTCGTTATAGGACATGTGATTCATTTGTTCCTAGAGGAGAAATAGGGTAAGAAAGTGGAAGGAAATAAAAGTTTATTTTGTTTTAAAACTTAAAAATTGTGGAGAGATCTCCCATGCTCATGGATTGGTAGAATCAACATAGTAAAAATGTCGATACTCCCCAAAGTAATCTACATGTTTAATGCAATTCCCATCAAAATTCCAATGACATTCATTAAAGAGATTGAAAAATCTACTGTGAAATTTATATGGAAACACAAGAGGCCACGAATAGCCAAGGCAATACTCAGTCAAAAGAACAATGCAGGAGGTATCACAATACCTGACTTCAAACTATATTACAAAGCAATAACAATAAAGACAGCATGGTACTGGCACAAAAACAGACATGAAGACCAGTGGAACAGAATAGAGGACCCAGATATGAAGCCACACAAGTATGAGCAACTTATCTTTGACAAAGGAGCTAAAAATATACGATGGAGAAATAGCAGCCTCTTCAACAAAAACTGCTGGGAAAACTGGTTAGCAGTCTGCAAAAAACTGAAACTAGATCCATGTATATCACCCTATACCAAGATTAACTCAAAATGGATCAAGGATCTTAATATCAGACCCCAAACTCTTAAGTTGATACAAGAAAGAGTAGGAAATACTCTGGAGTTAGTAGGTATAGGTAAGAACTTTCTCAATGAAACCCCAGCAGCACAGCAACTAAGAGATAGCATAGATAAATGGGACCTCATAAAACTAAAAAGCTTCTGTTCATCAAAAGAAATGGTCTCTAAACTGAAGAGAACACCCACAGAGTGGGAGAAAATATTTGCCAACTATACATCAGACAAAGGACTGATAACCAGAATATACAGGGAACTTAAAAAACTAAATTCTCCCAAAACTAATGAACCAATAAAGAAATGGGCATGTGAACTAAACAGAACTTTCTCAAAAGAAGAAATTCAAATGGCCAGAAAACACATGAAAAAATGCTCACCATCTCTAGCAATAAAGGAAATGCAAATTAAAACCACACTAAGATTCCACCTCACCCCTGTTAGAATAGCCATCATCAGCAACACCACCAACAACAGGTGTTGGCGAGGATGCGGGGAAAAAGGAACCCTCTTACACTGTTGGTGGGAATGTAGACTAGTACAACCACTCTGGAAAAAAATTTGGAGGCTACTTAAAAAGCTGGACATCGATCTACCATTTGATCCAGCAATACCACTCTTGGGGATATACCCAAAAGACTGTTACTCCAGAGGCACCTGCACATCCATGTTTATTGCGGCACTATTCACAATAGCCAAGTTATGGAAACAGCCAAGATGCCCCACCACTGACGAATGGATTAAGAAATGTGGTATCTATACACAATGGAATTTTATGCAGCCATGAAGAAGAACGAAATGTTATCATTCGCTGGTAAATGGATGGAATTGGAGAACATCATTCTGAGTGAGGTTAGCCTGGCCAAAAGACCAAAAATCGTATGTTCTCCCTCATATGTGGACATTAGATCAAGGGCAAACACAACAAGGGATTGGACTATGAGCACATGATAAAAGCGAGAGCACACAAGGGAGGGGTGAGGATAGGTAAGACACCTAAAAAACTAGCTAGCATTTGTTGCCCTTAATGCAGAGAAACTAAAGCAGATACCTTAAAGCAACTGAGGCCAATAGGAAAAGGGGACCAGGAACTAGAGAAAAGGTTAGATCAAAAAGAATTAACCTAGAAGGTAACATCCACGCACAGGAAATCAATGTGAGTCAATGCCCTGTATAGCTATCCTTATCTCAACCAGCAAAACCCCTTGTTCCTTCCTATTATTGCTGATACTCTCTCTACAACAAAATTAGAGATAAGGGCAAAATAGTTTCTGCTGGGTATTGAGGGGGGAGGGAGGGGGTGGAGTGGGTGGTAAGGGAGGGGGTGGGGGCAGGGGGGAGAAATGAACCAAGCCTTGTATGCACATATGAATAATAAAAGAAAAATGAAAAAAAAAAAAAAAAAAATAAAACTTAAAAATTATACCTGAGACAAAAATGGAATCTCAAAAAGTTTGATAATTTCAAGGAAATTGTTATATAACTGTAATAAAAATTTCAACTACAGAAGGCTAATTTAGCTTATGTTACAACAGATGGTAGCTTCTACTTTATTCTCCGTTCTGTAAAGAGAAAAGCCAATAATCTTTTCCCAATATACTTTGGCCATATACACTTCATTCACTTATTTTTCATTCACAAGTGAAAACATTCATGAGCTAGACACTGACAATTCAAAGATGAGAGACCTCTGTCCTCTACCCTCAAGGCAGTCATAATCTCGAGCACCATTTTTTAAAAAGCATTTAAACATGAAGACTCACTGCTCAAACTGGCCTCAACTTCCTGGGCTCAAATGATCCTCCTGCTTCAACCTCTGAAATAGCTGGGAATGACAACAGGCTCATGCACCTCTTCCAACTAGAAACTCCATTTTAAAAGAATAAGAGAAAATTCCAGAATAACCAAATTGTACATCTAGCCCACATTTAAATGGAGATAGACATGAATCGCTAATTGAGTGATTCACTTATATATTAGTCTATTGTATAAACCATAGCAGGAACTAATGTTTATATTACCTACTTTAATTGTTTGCCTTTCTTTCATGCCCACCCTACCATAGTTGTTATTCACAACAGGGGAACCAGAGGCAAGTACCAGACTCTCCAGGAGACTGGTTAGCGTAAGTTTAGCAGGTGTCTGATACCACTTGTCGACAGTCAATGCCTTCGGGAAACAGAACTGATCTAATTACAAGAGCAGGAGGGAAAAGGAACAAAAGAATTGCACAGGTTTCAAATTGTCTAAGAACCACTTCTGGATAATTTTCCTGTACGTTAAAGGTTTTGTATTTGTAATACAATAGAGAGAAAATGGCACTGTTGTGGCCATGTCTGATTTTATCAAAAACAAAATCATAAATGTATAAAGTTTGCACTGCAGTCAGATCTCTCAGCGTAATTTATGAAGATTTGGAAATTACTAGAAATGTCTGTGAACTACTAAAGAAACTAATAAGTACCTGTCTGTCTATATCTGCTCAGGTTTCACATACTAACACATTGATGCCCCCCTTAGAGACTTAAGCTTTTTGTTTTGTTGGTTGTTTTTGTCGTTTGTTTTAAAGAGCATTTATGTTAGCCTTAGTAACAGGATGGGAAAGTCTTAACCCTCCCCTTGTAATATTCATAATTGAGACTTAAGGTTTTTAAAAACCATCAGACAATACCTAATAATAGCCCAAAACTGTCACAGCCTTTGCCCCAGCAATTTCATTTTGTGATCTATACTCCAAGGAAATAATCAAACAAGGTTCTCCTACAAAGGTATGCACAGCAGTGCTCCTTAGAGTGGTGAGAAATTTTGGAAACAAAATATCCAGCATTAGAGGCACTGGACAAGTAAGGGTGAGTGGACTCTCTTTAAATGCACTCAGGAAAAGGCAACAAAAAAAATATGCACAAAAAATTAATACTGTAAAAACATGTTATCTGAAGTGAGGTTCCTGAGCCCACATATCCAAGCAGAATAATCTACTGAGAGTTTATTAAAAAGGAGAATTCAAAACAAAAGGAGGGGGAAGAGTCCAAGGATGTTCGCAGAGATCCAAAGTTACTGTACCTGAACTTGGGTGGAGGAATCTGCATTTTAAACACACACTCCACAGGAATCTGATTTGTGTGTGCTCAGGAACTACACTTGGGAAATGGCGCTGCTCTTGAGGGCAGAGACAAAACCCACTTCACCTCTGTAATCTCAGAACTTACCACATGGCCCTCATGCAATAAAAGCTTGAATTGAGCTGGGAGTGTGGCTAGAGTGGAAGAACACTTGCCTACCAAGAGCAAGGTCCTGAGTTCAATCTCCAGTATTGCCAAAAAGCTTGAGTTGAATCGCTGATGGAAGAATTGAATGGTTAGGCTGCCCATTTGAAAAAAAATATAAACTTAAAATGAAACATTAATTCTGGGCCATTATTAGATTGACTAACCAACCAAAATCCCAATTTTCTTGCAGCTAAATGCTTAGCATTACAATATTAAAAAGTATCTAAGTTCTGAAATACTTACAGGAGACATGTAATAAGGAGTGCCAACAAATGTTTTTGCAAAACTCGTATCATGATTTAATATTCTAGCTAGCCCAAAGTCTCCAAGCTTGACATTCTGTTTGCCATCCAGAAAGACATTGGCTGGTTTCAGATCCCGATGCAGCACAGTGTGACCGCCATCACTTCGTCTGTGACATTCCTTCAGGGCCATTGTTAACTGAGTCATCACTCGAAGAACAAATTCTTCTTCTAAGTATTGCCTGAAACCAAAGTTGTTGCATGGCATTTAACTTCTGAATAAAATCATTACAGATATGAGATGAGACCAGCTATTTGGTTTTTAAAGTGTAAAAGCAGGGAAATAAGTTATCTTCCTATGAAATATGGCTGTTTATTCACCAGTGATTTTCTAAAGGTCTGTGGTTCCACTAAACAAGTAAAGGAACACTCTCCCATACTACTAAGTACATTGTCCCTGATCCCAGCACAAGATGATTGACGGTTACAAAAGCAGACCCGTCTTCAGCTCACATTTAAAAGACATTTACCTTTCTTTGGTTCCCTTTGTAATTACGCTAGCCAGGTCCCCCCCTTCACAATATTCCATCACAATGTACAACGTCGTGTTGGTTCGGTCAATAATCCGATCATAGTAACGGACAATGTTTGGATGTTTCAGTTCACGAAGCAAATTCACTTCAGAAACAAGCATCTGTTTCTCAACTTCTGTCATGGAGCCATAGTCAAGTTCTTTCCAAACTAGTATCTGAAATAAGAAAATTTCCAACTTATTATGCTCAGAAACAAACATACCTCCCGTTTTAAATATATCCTCCACTCCAAGGTCATGCTTATGTAACTTAGTCCAATAAGCTTCAAGAAAAACTCAGTTGACTGGCATAATCTTCCCCTAATTTTTACTTTTTTTTTGGTGATAGTGGGGTTTGAAACCATGACTTCAGACTTGCTAGGTAGGCATTCTACCACTTGAGCTACTCCGAGGGCCTTTCATTTTTAAGCAGTAAATGATGCTATGGCCCATTAGGTCTCTCCAACCCCTACTTTCAGTTACTTAAGGGGAAACTGGCAAAAAGGTACTTTGGTCAGAGGTGGGGCGGAGGTGGTCAAAGTCCTTGACTGTTGGAACTGATTGTGTTTCCCCAGGATTTAGAGACCTTAGTAAAGATCCCTCCATCATGAAGTTATTTTAATAAGGGGAATAAGGTAGAAGGGAGAATAACCGAGAGGATGAACCAATCGGTTATAATATATGCATATATGGACATGTCACAATGAAACCCTGTATAACTATCATATACTAATAAAAATGTTTTCTTGAAAGAAAAAAATCCCTCCATCAGCAGCCGGGCAGCAAAGTCTACCTACACTCGACGGGAAATAGGATCCGATTATCCGAATAATCGGGACTTTTATGCAGAGTACTGACTGCAGATATAAAGTTTCGGGGTCTGCCCCTTTCCTGCGTCTTGAGAGACTTACTCCTCCAAGAATAGCTCAGGAGTGAGCTAGCTGCCACCAACGGGAGACCCTAACTAAACTAGTCAAAGTGGGAGAAAGAAGGGCGAGAGAAAGGGGGAAAGTGGAAACACGTGTCTATATCAAAAGACCCACAGGCTGTCATTCGCAGATCTAAGGGGAAGGCCGAGACTTCCGGCCAGCCCTAAGCGCAGCCTGCCGGGCCCTCCAGGCGGCGCCCCTGGCTGGCGAAACCTCCGCAGGGCGGGGACAAGGAACCGCCCGCGCCCACCTTGCCGTCGCTCTTCCTCCGGATCTTCTGGCAGCGGCCGTAGGAGCCCGTGCCGATGGTGTGGAGCACCTCATAGTCCTCCACCCGGGACGGCATGGCCGCCCCGCCGCCGGGCTCCCGCTGCCTCCGGCAGTCACAAAGCCACAGCCGCCGTCCGCCGACCCCCCAAACAGCACTGACCCGAGCCCAGGCCCCGCGGCCCCGTTTAACCGTCGCGGGCCCCAGCCTCGCAATCTATTGGCAGACGGCGAGGCGATCTCGCTTCTCTAATTGGCTAAGGAAAACACAACACCCTAGGCATCCTGGGAAAAGTGCGTCGCTAGGCAACCGCGTCGGCGTCGACTTCGGCGTTCAGCCTCTAGGGTGAAGAGGGCGGAGCCAAACCAAAGGGAGGGCGGGGAAAAGAAAGGTGTGGCTGGCGGGTCTGGGCTAGTCTATCCGCGGACGTCGCCAAGGTAATTGAGGTCCAAGGACCTCTCCTCAGACTCTTTTGCACACCGCTACCAAGCAACTGCCCCTGACTTTGACTCTTCATCCTCTCTCGGTTCTGATATCCCGAACCTGGGCCGGGCCATGCTGAAGACTTGGTGAGAGGAGAACAGATGAAAAATACAGGCCCTCGCTGGAGGAAGTGCCAGTCAGTGCTTACTGTGGTGCCAGGGCCGCACTAAGCACTTTTCTATTAATCAACACAAACCTGTAAATCAGGGATTAGTGCCATTAATATTTCCCAGATAGGTTAAGTCATCTGCTTTGGGACCAAGAGCCAAGAAAAGAATTGATGCAAAAATAGTGGACATGCATAGTAATGATTTAAAATTTACCCGCGAATGCAGGTATAGTCAGATGCCTGACCAATGTACGAAGAGGTGTATAAAGTCTCATGGTAGGAGATGGAAAGTCCCTGACGTTTTGGAACATTCTGGTGACCTTAAGGTCGAGATAGTCAAGTTTTACCTTCTCCAAAAAAAAAAATTATAAGAAAAGACAATCAAATATCTGTGTGCCCAGCACCTAATTAATTGACAATACTTCATTGATTGTAGCCTTCACAGAAACCAATACTTTCAGTTAACCCAGTCAAGTGGAACAGACCCATTTTTTTTCCTTGGGAGAGGGGTCCTAGAGGATTCCATCCAGGACTCCTTAGTAATTTGGTAATGCATAAATAGGTCATTTTTCTTTAAATATTTATTCAGCATGGGATTGAAAGGAACCTGGTGTTCTATTAATAAGACTTACAAATATCTTTATGTTAAAAGTAAATTTATTACATGCACTGAATGTAACATAGGATAATTGGAATTTCCAGCCAAGAGAACTTTTAAATTAACATTAAAGGGCAATGTCTTACCTCAAAGGAATAGGGCCAATTTAGGATTCAGAAGTTATGTAAGGAGCTATAAGTGGCTGAGGTTATTGGCATCATATTTTTAAAATTATTTTAGTGCTTCTTAGAGATTGGCTATCCTGTCCCAAATCCAGCTCTGCATCTTCTCTCTCCACTCTTCTGCTCTCTTTTCCCCAAACCCAGCACACTTTCTCAGCTCCTCACCACCCCTGCCATCTTTGCATCAGTATTCCATTTACCCAGAATTCCATTTGTCCCCACTCCTTTATCTACTCCTCCACCCCAGTCGTGTCTGTCCACAGAACACAACTTGTCTTGCAAGATTCAATTCCAAATTTGTCGCCTCTACTGCTCAGAGAAGCTTCTCTAGCATGCTAGGAAAGAGTTCACAAATCTGTGTACATAAATCAACACTAACTTATTATTTATCATTATTTGTTGAACTCCAAGCTCCTAATAGCCAGCCTAGGTCCTGGAATAGAGAAGAAATGCAAAAAAAAAAGCTTTGTTAAATGAAAATCTGAGAAAGTCACTTACTAATATTTATGCAAGAATTTTGGAGTGAGCCCTGAAATGTTCAGTTTTCAAATACCCCCAGCTCAGTGTCAGAGACTTAACTATCTGGGAAAGAGCCATTCCTGGAGTATGAAGAGTGGCTTTTAGTCATGTGTGTCTATTCAACAAATATTTACTGAGCATGTATGATGAGCCAGGTATAATAACAGGCATTGATACAACGGGTGTTCATTAGAACGAGACAGTGGAGCCTCCATGACAATGATAATGAAAAGAATAGTATAGGCATGCATGAAAAACCCTAATTATTGGCCAAGGTTAGTTCACATCATTGTGGGGATGGCCAGCGGGCCACTAGATGCCAGAGTAGACATTGGTAGCTAAGGAGTATGTGGGAGTCAATCAGGGACATGTTACAAAAAAAACCCTTCCTCCTCCACTGCTTTCTCCTTCCTTTCTTCATTTTCCGTCCATTTGTTTGTTTGAGACAGGGTCTGTCTGTGTGACCTGGACTGGCCTTGAACTCCTGATTGTCCTGTCTCTCAGCCTCCTGAATGCTAGGATTGATTACAGGCATGCCCATTTTTTTCTTTCTTTTTTTTTTTTAGTACTTGGGATTGAACTCAGGGACTCCCACCTGCTAAGCCAGTGCTCTGCTTCTTGAGCCACACCCCCAGCCTTATCCATCCATTCTTTAAGATTCAGCTCATGCAGTTTTTTTCCTTGAAATTTTCTCTGATTGACTACAACTCACTGTGATCTCCTAATGACTCCCAAGAGTTGCTGACTGCACTGTGTATTCACTATTGTACATTGAGGGATGAAGGAAGTCATGCTTCATGGCTCTCAACTTCCCTTTTCATGTTACATTAAAGGCCCACTAGAGGGCTGCACATCACTGAGTGATAAGTGAGGAGCCAGTGTCAGCACTCAACTACTATAGAGGCCTGTCCTTATAGGAAACCCCAAGATTTACATATTTGAAGATTCAAAATCAGACATTGCATATACAAATCTTATCTTAACAACACTATTACTTGCAGCAATTTGAAGTCTGGGATTATGGAAATTCTTTAAAGTGCTTCAGAAAAACTGCAGCGGCTAGGTGTGATGGCACTCACCTGTAATCCTAGCACACTCAAGAGGCTGAGGCAAGAGGATTACAGCCTGGACTACATGGCAAAAAAAAATTTAAAAAGAAAAAGGAAAGAAAGAAACAAAAAGAAGAACAAAAATTTCTAGTGAGAAGACAAAATGGAGAGATTCTTTGTTTATAATGATCAGAAACTAAAAGGTGTTTTTTTTAAATGTTCATGACATAGCAGGTACTCAATAAATGTAACCATGTTCTAGAAGAAAGAACGAAGTAGAATGAGGAGAGGCCTGACAGTGACACACTACTGATATAAATAGATAGACAAGATGTAGACTAAGACACAGCTATGGATTAATAACAGACAGTTCATAGAAGAACATGATGAGGAAAAATTTATCTTGGAAACCAGACAGTGTTTAACACAGAGGTCCACCACATTTTAAACAGGCATCATTTCAAACTTGCATCTAAGGGTCCAAATTAGGGAAAACTAGATTTTGGTTCAATATAAACTTTTTTGGGGGGAGGAGCAGTACTGGGGTTTGAACTCAGGGCCTTACGCTTGCTAGGCAGGAGTTTTATCACTTGAACCATGCCCCCACTATGTTTTGCTCTAGCAATTTTTCAGATAGGGTCTCATGGTTTTGCCCAGAGCTGGTCTCAGACTGTGATCCTCATGTGACTCCCAAGTATCTGGGATTACAGATGTGTACCACCATACTCAGCCACGATAGACGAAGAGATCTATTCATAAATCATATATTACTTTTCACTTGACTTGTGAACTCAGAATATTTGTTATCTCTAAGAATATCAATCATATAAATTAGATAAGAATAATGTTACAACTAATCCTGGATGGTGAGGCCTGCTATGGTACAAATATCTGTGTTCTCCCACCACACTGAATCATATGTTGAAACCTTACCCTCATGGTAAAGGTATTAAGAAGTGGGGTCTTTGGGAGTCTGGTAGGCCATAAGGGCTCTACCCTCATGAATGGGACTAGTGCCCTAATTAAACAGTTCTGAGGGGGCTTATTCACCCCTTCCACCCATGTGAGCTTACATAGAAGGTGCCATCCATGAGAGACAGCCCTCACCAGACTCCAGATCTGCCTGTCCAGATCTCTGACTTTCCAGCCTCCATAACTGTGATCAATAAATTTCTATTATTTATAGTTTTCCTAGTCTGAGGTATTTTGTTATAGCAGCCTCAATAACATGAGACGGCAGCCTTCATGTATGAATAGGGGACGTTAGGAGCTTTTAGAGACCACCCTTCAGAGCTCCTGCATAGCAATTGTGAAACCCTGAGTTCAAACCTCACTACCACCAAAAAAAAAAAAAGAGAGAGAGAGAGAGAGAGAGAGAGAGAGAGAGAGAGAAAGAGGACAGCATCATAAAATTGTAGGAACAGTGCGTACAAGGTCTGGGAATCCTGTGTCTTCTATCTTAATGAGCTATGTGACCTGGAGAATCCTTTTCACTTCTCTGGGCTTCATGAAGTAAAGGCATTAGGTTAGATGACCTTAAGTGACCCTCCAGCTTTAATTCACCAAAATTGCCATCAGAGCTAGAACACTGGTTTAGCCCTTGATCTGCATTTCCATATCTTGTTCTCTTCATTCTTTACTGATATCATCAATGTTTACTTCCCAGGGATCTCACGGGGAAGGTGAGACAGGTGTAAGTGAGCTTTGTCTCTCTATGTATCTGTACAGTGTGATAGTTGGCCTGACAGACCTTTGCTTAAAATGTTCAGGAGACCCAGCAGGAAGGAACCAGACGCTAATAAGGACGGCAGGTATGTAGGTCAGGGCAAATGTTCCTACGAAGGAGACACTTGATCTACACCTGAAGGAGGGTCTGGAATTAGGAGAACTGTGGGTAGAAGCATGGAGATCTGCAGGGGTCTGCAGGGGTCTGCCGATTGGGTGGATTGACCAAAAGGTGCATTGTTACTTGTGAGACATGTGTTGCATAGCGAGTAGGAAGACCCAAGAACTGAGATAATCTTCTGAAGGTGATGGATTCTCAGGAAAAGCTTTGAGCATCACCGGATGTGTGTTCTAGAAAGATCACTCTGATTAAGAATGAATGTGGGGCCGGGGGCTAGTGGCTCATGTCTGTAGTCCTAGCTACTCAGGAGGCAGAGATCAGGA